GGTGGTAAGTGTGCAGTACTACTCTAACCTCCAGCTTTCAGCTTCATCTGCAGCACTGTGGGGTAGCAACTGATGGCCCTTTCCAGCCAGGTGACAGACACAGCAGTAGTCTTGGAAATACTAGTTTTAATGTTCAAAGAACAAATGTGTGTCTCTGATGCTTGTATTTTCAAGTTTCTCTTTATCATTAGGAAAAAAAAAAACAAAACACACAAAAAAACCACAAACCAAAACTCTCCACATCTCCACGCTATCTTTCAGAGAGCACAGTGAGAGCATTGCTACGTGATTTGCATTGAAGTAGTGCAAATTAAGTGCTGTGCGTTTAGTTACTTTTAAATCTTTTCTCTTGAGAATAATTTTCATGTGGGGCACAGATAGTAGTAGCAGCTCACCTATCCGAGAGGTGATGAATACCAACTCTGTTCTGCAGATGTAACTGTTACATTCAGACTTGCAGATCATTAAGACGACTATTTGGTGGTAATGATAACCTTATCTAAAGCATGAACAGATTTCTCAACACATTGCCCGCCATTTTCTGAAGTCTTTAATACCAACAGACTGGATTCCTAGCCTGATGTGTTTCTACGCTGGTAGGTATTTACTTTTATTTAACATTTACTTAGTGCTCCTCTGTTTTGTTTTCCCAGGGAAAGCATTTATTTGAACATCCTTACAAATCCTCTTTCACTAGTCCTGCCTACAGTCTGGACTCGCAAGAATTTGAGGAAGAATCCAGGTCCCTTTTTCCAGCTAAAGGCTGGGCATTTAAAATCTCTGGAATTAGATTTGTGCTTTACTGTTTTACATAAAAATCAGCCATAGAGTTGGTTTCCTTCCTGTGTACTTTCAGTAACATGGACAGTAATTCCACGTCTTGCTCCTAGAATTGCTCTTTTGAGTGTATTGTATATATTTATGGCAAGCATGCTGTGAAGCTTTCTATTACCCTTTGCAGTGTGATGTGAGAAAGATAGTATTCTTGGTTTTAGAATACATTTTTCATTTAATGGACTCTTGGAAAAGTATTGAAAAGCAGGGAGAGTCAGGGAAAGATGCAGAAGCCTCTCTGGGGGTGAAGAGACAAGGCCAGGGAAGCAGGCTGTACAGAACACCAGAGATGAATGGCAGGTATTGTTCATTGCTGTTTTGTATAAAAGTAGTTCAGGTAGGTCCTCCTCCTTGTTCCCACCCATTTGGACAGGCAGTCAACATTCTTTTCATTTATAACAGGATTTTGCCCATCATCAGTGCCTCAAAAGCCCTGCAGAGATCCTATCTCAAGTTATTCAAACTTTAAAATTATCTTTGACTTCAGCTATAGAGGTTCTTGATGTTAAACTGGCCTAGCAAGCAAGTCACTGAGATAATGTGTTTAAAATCTTTGGCCCATTCCCGTTGTATGCCTGGCAGCCTAGCTCCGAAGTAACAGGGTTAACAAGCACCTCAGCTGGGGTTTTGGCTTCCTTTTCTATTCAGTGTCTTGTATCAAATACTCCATCCACTGAAGGATTAATTTTCATCTGATACAAAGCGATGCTTGTCTAATGTGTAGATAAGTTCAGTGAAAAGCAAAATGCTCTACTTTATCCAAGTCTTGCATATCTGTCTGTTGCGTGAGTTTCGGGAAGTTTCTGCCCTGGGCGAGGCTTTGCATTCCTTCTGTGGAGTGTCACCCTGTGTAAGACAGCTACAAATCTGTCTGCTGGAATCTGTCGCCTCTGTGTTGCTTTTCATCACTCTTGAAAGAAGGGTGTTTAGAAACTTTAAAAGTTTCCTTTGGAACAGGATTTAGTTACGTCTTTCATTCCATAACATGTAATAAATCTGTAAGATGCATCAAGAACAATTCCAGTGCAGAAGTGAAACTGGAAGAGATTTTACCTGACATCGGTCAGTGGAGTGCGATACCAAGTTGGCTTATTGTATTGCAGTTTCCATCCTTTTTCATGACCAATACTGGCACTAGTTCTCTTATCCACCTAATCACTTTTGTCTCCACACTACAGTCCATCCTGAAGACCAAATTCAATCTGAATTTGACTGATGACTACCAGGTGATGTTTTTCAAGGAGGTACATAGGATAGAGTCTTAACATCCCAAGGTAGACATGCAACCTGGCATTTTCCTGGGTTGCACGAGCTTTTGAAGGTTGCTCTGGATCATGGAAACCAACCCTGGGAGCTGCTCTTCTGGGGTTGCCTGGTGACAGCTTATTCAAAGCATACTGTCTTCTTTTTCACCATGCCCACCTTTGCTTAGTGCTTAGGGACATTTGTCGTACTTGTGCATGTATCCGAGATGCAGATATTGCCATGGGAATTGGGAGATCATTGCTGCCTTCGCAGTGTTGAAGCAGCAGAAAGAGCAGACTCTGAAGCAGGTGCTGGTCTCCCTGGACGTAGTCTTTCTGAGATCTGTGTTGCCTAGACTTCTGTGGAGAGGAATATGAGCTGAGCTCTCCAGTAGGTCTGGGTTATAGTCACAGATAAGGAAATGGGTTTTGTTGTTCCATGTTAGATAAATCCCATGGGCTGCAGGAATCTCATTACCCAAGGAGGGAGGACTAGCTGCATCCCAGGAGTGCTGGGTATTTATAGAGCAGATGTTCCTGCATGAGATGTTCATAAGGAGACATTTTCTGATGTGTTAGTTACAACATTGGAACTGCAAAGTTTGATGTCTGGATAACTTATTCATAGCATTAATTAGCTATTAATTTGATCCTGCAGAGTTTTCATGCTTATTTATGTGTGATATGTGGGAATTTTTTCTTGAGGCATTAATTTTCAGTAAATTTTTCCATAGCCGAAGATACAGCAAGTGATATCAGCAAGCCACACTCTTACTGATGCACTTTTATAGTATCTTCTTCAATTATAACCTTATTAATGTCCACCTTAATATTAATCCTAATACAGATCAAGAAATAAGAAAGGAGGATACAAAATACCGTGATGCTTTTGATAACCAAAGCAGTAAAACAAATGTGCTACAAGTGTGGTAGCACACATGGACCGTAGAAAAATCTCTCGTGAATGGGCCATGGGGCAAGAAAAGTGTGAAGAAATTTTTTGGCAAAATTTGATTGATTTATTTTTTGAAGTCTGCAAGCTTTCCTCGTGTTTTAGCTCTCTATTTCTAAGACTTAATGAGGGAATATGAAATGTGATACACAGCTTCAGATAAGATCATTTTTAGTGCATTTCTGTCACCCTCTAGCTTAATAGGTAATGTTCCACTTTAATAGATGGGCTTGGAGGTGGAGCTGCTGTCGTTTATGGTTACAACTCCTGAAAGGTATCATGGAAAATCTGAATTCTAATTCCAGTTTTATAAAGACTTTACATTAAAATTTGCAATTGGGCTTTCGATACAGAAGGATTAGTACAACTGGAGATGGAAAAACAGCATGTAGAATTCTCTCTCATATATCCCGTGGAATCATATTTTAATGTCCACTTTAACTGGCTTGTATCAGCCACTGCTAGAGGTGAGGCTGCGTGTTATAATTTGGGGAAAGGATTCATTTATCTGTGCATTTCATTTGTGTTCTTAATTGAAAGTTAATGTGCTGTTAAAGCAACCAGCTCACAATTAAGTTGTCTTCAGATTTTGAGAGGTCTCTGAGAAAATGTGTTTTTTTCTTCATCATCCAATTAACATACAAGCCTGCCTGGGTGATGGGGGGACATGGGAGGGGGGACTATGATTGATTTGTTAATTACTTGGAGTTTGGCAGTCACTCTAGTTAGTTAAAAAGAAAAATTGGCTGTATGATCCTAATAGCAGAAGGTAATGATTGTGTCCTGATCTTCTGAGAGCTAACCTTACATGGGTCTGTGGAATTCAGACCCTGCAAGCTGAAAGGTTGGCTGTCGTGTTGTCAAAATCAGTGCATTACAGCTTTGAGAAAACTTCCCATACAGGTTTTGCCAGCGAGCACTAGTAAGAATCATTTTGTCACTTCATTCTCCCCAAAAAAGAATAGTAGGGGGGAGGCAATGTTTGGAAAATTGGCTTGAATTTTATTTATTTATTGGGTAATGGTAGGTTGATGCTTATGCAAGGCTGGGACTTCAGTATGCAGTGTGCATGCCCACTGGACAAGTGAGGCTGAGCTCATAGCTCCCCTTTGAACAATGTCTGCATTGATATGTGCAGCTTCAACAACGCCGAGTAGCCTTTCACTGCTCTGTCTCGCATCTTCTACCTGTGCCATTCCCTTGTGCAATGTTTTGAGACATTTAAAGCCATATAAATATACTGGCTGTTGTCTTCTACTTTCTAAACATGACTGATCTAGGCTTTGTGCTGAATCTGCTGTACACAGTGTGAAAGGTGGGCTTTAAATGTCAAAACATGGGATTTAAACTGGGTGGCAGTAACTACCAGTCAGAAAGCTGGGGATAAAGAATAGATTTGGAGAACCTTTGAGCAGTGAAGCAGACAGCAGTTGTACATGGTGACTCCCATCTGGCTTCTTTGGAACAGATGGGGGCCAAAGAAAGCAAAGAACAATTTTATATACAGATTGATTAAATAAAATGTAGCTTACTGTACATCTGGTTTTAATCTTTTTCATTTTTCAGTTTCTGTGGCCATGAATACTGCTGAGCAGTCTTGTGATTTTGCATCTTTTTCTTCAGGTGGTGAAAGCATTTTTCAGATTAAAAGTTCTGGCTTTGAAATTAAATTTTTGGGTTGCATGTTGTTTTCTCTGAAGACTCCTGTCCACCTTAAGGTATATCACTGGACTCACCAGCAACTGTTTGTAGGCACCTCTGTGACCGTGATCCCCTTTTCATTCAGATTCAGGGAGCTGCAGATGTGCATTGTCCATATTTCACAGAGACTTAATAGGTTTGTCAGACTACTTTGCCTCTAAACTGTTCATTCTAGGTAATGGGCTCTTAATTGTAACATAAATTGATGCACCTTCAACTTTATGGTGAAGGTTAGAGGGCTAAATTTTCTTTTAAATCTCTCCTGTTAGGAATGTAAGTTCAGATGGAGCAGAAGCACGCAGAAGACTAAGAGAGTGTGATGGCTTGGTGGATGCCCTCCTTCATGCTCTACAGTCTGCATTTGGCAAGAAGGATACAGACAATAAGGTGAACTTGAGTATTAAAACTTAATGGACGTTTCCATAAATTTAAGTTGGAGTATTGCACTGGGATCTGACTTCTGTTTGCTAGTATCAGAAGGGGATTATGCTTGCCTCGGAAAATGTAGTAATTATCTTTCTTTCATCTCTGTCATGATATCCATGGCACTACTGCTGTGTTACCTTCTGGGACTCATGAGGTGAGCAAAGGCAAGTGGTTGTAATAGGTGGGGAGAGTAGTCCTCTGTTATTGTCAGTGACATTATTGCTGTTGTTCTGTTTTACTTAATTAACATCTATAAGAGCAGTCTCCGAATCCGAATTGAGTCCCATTGTATTGTGGTTTGCACAATACCAGCAAAGGAGTCAGTTCCCATTTTAAAGACTTTATTCAGCATGGTCTCTTAAGGACTATAGTGCTTAGACATTAAGGTACGTCTTCAGACCTGCAGCACTTTCATTCTGGCTTTTTTTTTTACTTAGTTGCAGATTTTCATTAATCTGTTTTTATCACCATCTCATCCTGTGCCGCTTAAAAGCATATTTATATGTATAAGGAAAATCTGAAGTTTAACCTGTTTAAACAAAAAAGTGTATGCTATTGCTTTATAACACCAATAAGGCTTGTAAAGCATCGTTATTTTATTCTTTCTGAGTCCCACCATGTGATGGACTGTACAAGGGAATTCTAAAGCAGTGTCCCTTGATCAGATCATGTTGGCAGTGGATTTCGTAACCACCTGGTGGTTTCCATTCCAGCCTACAGAGCATTGCTCTTGTCAGAACCTGATGTGCCATGGATTAGCTATTACTACAGGACAATGTGTGTTCTCATTGAAATCCTCACAAGGCCTAGGTTTTGACCCAGAGAAAGTTTTAATAAAATGGGCCCCTTGGGGATTGTAAAGGTTGGAAGAATGAGAGAGAGGCTTGTATTAAAGTAAGATCCTTATATGATCATTTTTTGCTGTGTGTTTGATCTTTTGGTGAATTGTATTCTTTATGTAAGATGAGGTGGTATTTTTGATTAGAGAGTTTTCATTTTGAATGGGCGCCATTTATGAAGTACTTCACTTTTGGAAGAATAAAATTGTTTTAGAACAAGAACAAACCGTTATTTAAGGGGTCTTGACTAAATCTTCCTTGAAAGTTACTTTCCTGGGGCAGGTGGGCTTTTTTTACATTCTCCCACACCCGCCACTGTATAATACAATGATGTGCAAATAAGAGGGCGCAAGACTTATTATAACATAAATTCCTCTGTAACAGTCTGTGGAGAACTGTGTGTGCATCATGCGGAACCTTTCCTATCATGTCCACAAAGAGGTCCCCGGAGCTGATAAGTACCAAGAACTAGATGCCAGTCAGACTACAAGCACGGGAGGCTCTCAGAAGAAGAAGAAAGATGATGCTGGTTGTTTTGGTGGGAAAAAAGCTAAAGGTACGTGTTGTAGAGAGCTCAGAACTGGAAATGGGTTTGGGGGTAAAATTTGCTCTGTAAGGCTGCTCTTGCAAGCGCATTCATCATGCTGGTTTAGAATGATGCAGTTTGTGGAGGTATGTGTTTGTAGTGTCATGGCATGTGTTCATCTCCCTTGTAGCATTACTACTAGATATTTGGAAATTTTTTCCACGGTTGCTATAGTTTTGTTTGGCTTTGAACAGGAGTGCTGCATGCTGACATGACACTCTGTTGTTGGACAAAGGTGGATGTGGTCTGCCTCTCCTCTGCGTTGCTGTGTTCTTGCATCTGTCAAATCTATGCTTAGTCCACTTGCTTGGCTGTATAGCACGTCACGGCCTCTGGAAGCCAGGCCAACATGCGTTCATCCCCATGCATGGTAGTCCTGTCTGTATGTCTTCCGTGCCTCCAGTCTCTCACATTTGAAAACAAGCTAAAAGCCTACCCTCCCACTCACAGCCAAAACAGACAACCTCCTAATTCTGTCACTGTTTCAGTAATTTAAATTGCAAACGTGATTTTGTAGCTTTTAATTGTCACTCACTTTTAGACCTGTTCTCTCCTCTGGGGCATGAGTGTTGCAAATGAATTTCATTACAAGAGAGGATTAATTGTCTCAGTAACCCCCCTTCCATCTTTCCTTTAGAAAGAGACACTCAAATTGCATCAGTTTTCTTTGTTGTTTTAGAGAAATTACTATTCCAGACTGAATTCAGAGATAATTAACTCCATTTTCTGTCTAGGCTTCATTCTCCTCATTCATGTGTAGTCACATCCTGGCTTACTATTTATAGCCAGGTCTAAGGAAGGTTTTGGTCCTGAAGAGCCTGTATGGAATTGTTTGAACTTGACGGACTGTGTGCTGCACATTACTCTTCGTTTGATCTGGCCTGTACATGTTATTAAAATGTTACATGTTTACATATGTGTCAGGGAAGTCATCACAGTGTGAACTTGCTTTTGCAGACTAGTCTGTCATCCACTGGATTTAAACTGTGTTAAAAAACAAATAATCATGGGAATCCTTAAATGACTGGGGGCGGGGAACTGAGGAAATAATTTTACCTGCCTGGCCAGCCTGTTCTCACAGTGAGTGACTAAAACTTCAGTGTGCTGTCCTTTGGAAACCTTCAGCATGTGCTGACTCGAGCCCATTGCTGCCTCTTGCAGTCCCTGTTGTTTTGCTGCTTGAGAGCAACACAGTCAGTGAAAACATTTTTAGACATAAAAGCTATGACTGTGCACAGTGGGAGGAGGAGAGCATGCTGATTGAGAACTGTCATCGTCCTGTCGCTGATGGTGGGAAGAGAGCGCGCTCGGGTGGCGTTCCTCTGTTGAGCATCTGCCTCTTTCCTCTGGGGCCCACCCGTAGGTACCCCCTGTCTCTGTACGCCTCGGGAGTTTCTGTTCATCAGCCAAAGCATCTGAGCATCTTTCGGAACAAATCGGTCTCAGAATTTTTTATGTTTTTTTTTTCCTCACCTTCGCAGTGCTCTTTTAAAGTGTGCTGCTCTCCTGAGGGAAATCAACTGGTAATAATGCTGAGCTCACAGCTGGCAGTATGTAGATCAGAAGGATAGAGGGGCACAGGGAACTGTTGGGTTTAAAAAAAATTTTAAAATCCATTAATAAATGTGCTTTTAAAGTCATAAAGAGGAACTTCCTTTTCTCACTGTTAAATTTGTGTGACTACCTGGTTGAACCTGCCTTAATTTTCTCAGCCTAGGACTTCAGAATAGTTCTCTCCCCCTCTTGTTCACTTAATCTTGCAGTGTTTCCATGTTTATTTTATTTCATGGTCATTGATCATAGCATTTCAAACACCTCTGCAAAGGGCTAGTCACACTTCTGTGAGCACCTTTTCATTTAATGAAAAGAGGAAGAGAAAAAAAAGCTGTGCACATAGACTGTTTTTCAGCAAGAACAAAAGGGAGAAAGTGGAATATCTTGGTTTAGTTTTTTTAACTGGTGGAAGTTCTGTAGTATTCTTGCACTACTCAGGTTCTGAACCTATTCTGTGAATTTCTGCCTCTTTGTGACTGTTCCTTTGTATTTTCTTCCTTCCTGTAAATTTTTGTTTTTCTTTTGCTGCTTTTCTGGTAATTAGAGGAGTGGTTCAATCAAGGTGAGTCTTTGCAATACTTTCTTTTCATCATCGCCATAATATGCTTTGTTCAGCTTTTACACGCAAGGCTAAGAGCTGAGATCAAGGTCTTGTTCATTCACCTTCTCCTCTGCTCTCCCAGTGCATCATCCATTTCAGTAGGCATGGAAATCCTCTAATTGAGTGAGCGTTTTCAGTTGGTTCTTCCCACACTGAGAGTAGAAAAGATAAGGTTTTATTCATTCCTGGTGTAAGTGCAGTAAGGGAAATGATTTGCAACTGGCCTGATCACCCCCTGACAGAGGGAACACCTAAGCGTGCAAGTTGCCTCACCTGCGCTGTCAGATCGAAGCACAGCATTGCTAGCTGGTCTGGGTAGCAATAGCCATGAAGACTCAGTAGCTTGGGTGTGTGTTCTCAGGGATCCTTGGTATTTTGTCTGCTTGGGCATGCCTGCCTGGGCTGCTGCATGTTCGTTACTGGTACTCAGACTAGCTAGGTGAAGCTGCGCCCCGTAAGTGCCTCAGGGGATGCAGCCTTTAGTTTCTCATCCCAGCACAAGAAGTAAAATTGCAATTGGAATACACAAGGCTGAGGCTGAAGTTTGCCTCCCTCGCTGCTTGGCTGGGAAGTTGTTAGGCTGTGAGTGCCCCGGAGACTTCCACTGTGTTACTGAGACTGATTCAGGGGTAAAGGCAGGGTTGCTTTCAGTTTGTGACATTTGCTTCAGATCAGTGGGTTCTGGAAGGCTGAGCCAAAGGAGAAATGTTGGGGGGAGGAAATCTAATTGCTCCACCCAACAAATTGTGCTGGGTAGTGATCTGAGAGACCCATTTCAGATAATGACTGGTGAGCCTGTGGAGGACGGGCATGTGGGAAAGACAGAGCTCAGCCCTTGCTTTTTGTCGCTCCACTGCAGCCCCGTTCAGTGGGTGCATTAACTGGGGTGTGGGGGGTATTACGAAGAATCTATTTCCCTTCAACTTTTTTTTTAACCAGAAATAAAGCATTTGGGAATTAATCCTTCAGCAAAAATGGTCTAGCTGAATAGCTGTTCTGATTATCCAGTAAAGCAAAACGACATATGAGGAAGATCAACAACACATTAGTGGTTAATAACGCGGGGTCACACTGCAAAGTCCGTACTGAGTTTCTGACAGATTGAAAATGCTGAAGGTCATGTTTTGGTTGTTTCTTACATAATGAAAAGTAGCAGGAGGGGGAGAGGGAAAGCATTTTAATCCCACTGTTTTGGAGACTAAATTGCATCTTGCACAAGCAAGTCTCATGTCAGGCACTTTTCCCAAACCAGAGTGTGGTGCCAACTCCTACAGCCAGGTCTCATAAAACAGACCTGTTAGCGGGCATGTTCAAAGCTGTCTGTCTCTTGGCAAACTTTGGAGCCTTGTTGCTGATCCAAGAGCGTTATCTTTTCTCTGGCATACCTTGGGCTGGAAGACTTGGGGAGCAGGGAGATGCATAGAAGGGCAGAAATTGAAATGTATAAAAACAGGGTCTGAAACTTTTCTGTTGCTAGCATGGTCATTTCAGCATCCCTGTGCACTAGCATTACTGACAGTCTGAAGTGACAGAGGGATGGTCAGAACTACAGAAGCTGGCTGTCAAGCTGGTTTTCTCATGGTATCAGTTAGGCCAGGGGATGGCTGAGAGGTTTGTAATTGGCAGGCTCTTAAACCTGCTAAATTTGGTCACCTTTTTAGAAACTCCAAACCAATATTTGTGGGTGTTGTGAAAATCAAATGGGAAAAATACCAGCTGGACTGCAGATTGAAACCTTTGCCTTCTAGCTGGATTTATTTTGGAGTCGTCTTAGAGCTTGGTCACCTTCCCTCTAGAAGAAAGCCCTGGAAAATGTAGGTGCTTTGGGTATTGCTGAACCTGGCCCTTGCTCAATTTGATTAGGCAAGTAATTTGTAGAGTTGAAATCCCCCTTGGTTAGAACTCTGTGTTCTGAATTGCTTCCATTCGTAAACAGCTGGCTGCTTCTGGTTTGAACAGACGCGGTTTTGCCTGTGAGGTGGGTTCGTTTCTCAGAGGGCTGAGAGACAAACTAGCAAAGGCTTTGTAGAAGACAGCCAGTATTTGCAGCCTGGCCTAGAAATTGTGAGACAGCAACTGAAGATCACAGAGCACAGGTGGAGTGTGCTGTCGTAATGAAAGATGGTTTAGTTCATAGGCAGCTGCCTCTGCATTGCTAGCTCAAAAGATACAGCAGCCAACACTGCTCCCCTGGACAGTCTCTTGCTTAAAAAGTTGTTCACGAATACATACTGCTTAGTAAACATTACACAAGAAAGAAGGGAGCTCTTACTGTGCCATCTCCATTCTGCAGGGCTAATAGAACTACCAAGCCCCAACCTTTAATTTATAGAGAACTTCTGAAATGAGTAGCTGTGTTGAATAATGTCTGGCTATCCAAGTAAGTGTTCAGAGTTTTAAACTAGCTAATGCCAGAGACGTGAAATTCAGGGTCATGTGAAAAAACAGTTTGTCCTACTTGTAGATAAGATGGAGTCACATTTATTGCTCTGCCTTAAGTCTGTAATCTTCCCTAAACACTGACTTCCTTCAGTGCTTTTTTTTTTCCTCCCTCTGCCCTGCTTTTTGCTGTCAGTTCTCTGAGGGTCAACAAGGGTTTGCAGCCAATAACCGGGTTCAGCTGCCATTATGAAATGCAATGGCCTTCAGTGATGCACAGCATTTTTTCCTTCTGATATTTGGTTCCCCAGGCAACATGCTTCTGGTGCTTTCATGGAGCAAAAACTTGATGGAGGGCTGCAGCTAATTCCTGTCCCTTCCTTTAGAAAAGACACCTTTCAAAGGAGTGGCACAGTACCTGGCTGCATGACCTTTTGACAGCTTGGATGGGCTTTTTCATAGCCTGTATAATTAAGCAGATTATTTCGGATGAACAGAATTTCTAGATGCATGTTTTGTTTTGTTTTGCACAGTAGTTAAAGTTGGCTGATACTCTGTGTTGGCATTTCAAAACAAAAGTGTGGTATTTCCAAAGAAAGGGAGGGGATGGAATAATATCTTGAGGCCTTTCTTTTTCCCCTCTTGATATTATTTCTAAATATTCATATCGGTATTTACAAGCTCTATTTCTTCTCTATGTAGTATTGCATGTGTTTGTCCTTTTGCCAAGAGAAGAGGTAGAGTGGCCCATTGAATTCACTGTGCAGAAGCTGTACCAGCTCCCTGCTGTTACAGGGCAGGGATTGGCCTTTCCCATTTCGTGACCTATTCCAGGTCAAGCATCGGGCTAATCTCTACTGTTCCACACTTTCAAGGACCATTTTCCTGTTTGCTTTTAAGCATCCTGCCTGGTGGAGCTTTCAGCCCTTCCTGTGAACCTCCATTAACAGCCTGGTTAAGTCCCTGTTCAGAAGCCACCTCTGGCAGCTTAACTTGTGTTGTTCTGAGTTCATCTCATCGCACCTGCTTCCCCTGCTCTTGAGGGAGAGGGACTAAATAACTTGGGTTTTCCCCTCAAGATAATTTGAGACAGCTAAATTGTGCACTGCTGTCCTCAAAAGCCACGCAGATTCCTGCACTTCAGAAGCTCTCTCTCTGCTGTCCGTGCTTTCTGAGGCAAGGTGCCTGCTCAGCCCACAGCATCCGTGTGGGCTTACCCAAGGGAGTGTGTCTCCTTGTCGGGAGAGGGGGGGATGAAAATTAACCCTTTCCTCCTCAGCTGTTTACATAACCTTGAATTACCAACCTAACTAAAACTGAAGTCCAGGTTCTGCTTTCTGTGAAGGATTGTAGAAACTAAAGCTGATGTAACAGTTTGAAACTCTTAGGAACAGTATGGAATTGTTTCCATTAGTTTCTAATAAATAGTCAAAATGGCACTTTATTGGTTCAAGGGCAGTTCAAGGTTAAGTCTTTGGCTGCTGTCTGTACAATATATTAAATCTAGACCTTCCTGCCTCATAGCTGCAATGAGAATAGAAGCTACAAAGCAAGCCTGGTGTATATTGCTCTGCTGCTCAGTTTCTGCTTCAGCAAAGTTTCAGGTCAAAATACCACTGAGAAAATAACAAGTAAATACTGGGCTTCTGAGGGAGGGGCTTAGCTCTGCCAAGAAGGGAAATGGCACAGTTTTCCAAGACTTTTAGCACTCATTAAGAGTGACCCACTGAAATGCTAGTGCAAAGCATGTTTGCAGATCAACCTGAAAGTATCACGGATTTTTGTCCCTAAATTGCTCACGCTAAAACTACAGCTATGCAGCTGGATTGCGAGTCAGATATGTACGCATGTGGGTAATAGTCTGTGATTTATATTCTGAGTCTATATCTTCTCTCATCTTGTAGATGCACATGACCCTAACTTAACCTGTCACTGTGCTGACAGTCTTTTCCATCTGTTGTCTGATTTTTCTGCACAGGAAAGAAGAATGGAGATTTGGACAGGAATTTTGATACACTTGATTTGCCTAAGCGGTCTGAAGCAGCAAAAGGTAATGCTAATGTTTGTGCTTTTGGAAATAACAAGTAGCCTGGGACCTGGAGGCTCTTAAAGGAACTTGAGATGTGAGCATATCGCACTGATCTTTCTTTTGTATTCAGTTAATTGAAATAATAGATGTGCCAGAGCTTGTTGTTACCTAGTATTCAATACTGGATGTAACCAGCTTTTATATAAAGCTGCTAAATGGGTGGAATCTTGTAGAAGCCCATCTGATTTGGTGTTAGGTGATTGCAGCCACATAGAGGAGTGAGTGCATCCTCTCTTCCTTTACAACTCCATTTGCAAATTGCCTGCACTAGACGTGAATGTAAGGAGTTGTGAAATGCATTAGGTGAGTGTGCTTATCACTAACCTTTTCCCTTCCCTGGCATCTCTGTGTTTCTTCAGTGCTCCGACAAATTGGAGAGTGAGGGCAGGGGATGAGTTCACTTAACTATCAGTAAAGACAAAATAAATCTTCACCTGAATAGAGTACTCCTCCCTGTCTGTAGAGAATAGTACTTCTAGTTTTCCAAAATCGGAAGGTTCACAGAAAAATTCTCCTGCATTGCGCCGTTGTGTTTCAGCTCTGGCAGAGGTGAAATCTTCCACAAACAATCTGCGTTCCCTTCCTGCATGCGCTGTGCTCTTTTTAATTGGAGATTAGGAGATTATTTGGGATCTCGTCAGACTTCTTACAGCATTGGGCGGTGTTTTGAGACTTGCACAGGTTTTCATTTGAAGTTTGTGCAATGTCATTGCAAAGATTCAGCCATCGTCATGGCAACTGCTGCGTTGCCACCCTGCCAGCCTAGCCTTGCAGGAGAAGCTCTCTCGTAGCACCCTCACCTCAGTGATCTGTGAATACCCAGAACTACCTCAGTATTCCTCGGAAGGAAAACCTTAAACTCTTCCTGCATCACTTGCACAATTTCAGAGAGTATAAAGAGACCGTTTGACTCAATGGAGAGATCCTTGGAGTTGAGATAGCTGAATTATGCTACTTAAGTGACCTTGATCGAATCAACTAATTTGTGCTTCAGTTGCCTTACTGTATATACTGCAGCAACAGAAGCCAATCTCACATCCTTAGAGAGGCCTGAAAGTAAAGGTATAGTATTTACCACACGTGAAGTGCCGCACTCTCACTTCAATTCATGGGCAGTGAAGCTCTGATTTACGACGTGCAAACTAATCCTAATATATAGATGGATCTGATCTAGTTACAGACCCTTTACAATGGGTACAGTGTCTAGGGTAATGTCTAAACACTAATTTTCATTTGGTGCATTATTGCACAAGATACCAATGCACCTCTTAGAAGGTGCAGTGCCATCCTGTTCGGAGAGCTGCAGGAACCCTCTCCTAACCAACCTTCTCTCTAATGCCATCAGTTCAGGGCTGGGTGTTGGTTACATTGCAGAGCAAAGAAATTTCTTAAGGCTGCAGAGAAGAAAAGAGTGCAAAATATAGCAAAGGCTTCAGCACTTTCATTCCTTTCCAAATGTGATTGGAGTGTAGGTGCCACTAAAGGGAAAAGATGGAAATCAAGGATTTCTGCAAAGGAATGGATCTTGCATAACTTACTTTAAAATAAGATAAAAATCTTTCATGTGGCTCTGCTAATGGTGGAAGTACTGTGGCATATCTGATGGGAAATGTATCTGTCTGAGCTTACACAGCTTGTTATCATGTTAAATTGCTAGAAATCACACGCTCTTTTAGACGTTTTGTTTGGTAATTTTGAGATGCCCCCATTTAATTTAAGCAGAGTAGATTTTAGTCTGGTGAGGTGGATTGACCCTGGCTGGACACCAGGTGCCCACCAAAGCTGCTCTGTCACTCCCCTCCTCAGCTGGACAGGGGAGAGAGAATAAAATGAAAAGCCTGTGGGTCGAGATAAGGTCAGGGAGAGATCCCTCAGCAATTACCATCATGGGCAAAACAGACTCGACTTGGAGAAATTAATTTAATTTATTACCAGTCAAATCAGAGTAGGATAATGAGAAATAAAAACTAAATATTAAAACACCTTCCCCCGTCCTTCCCCCTTCCCAGGCTCAAATTCGCTCCCAATTTTCTCTCCCTCCTCCCCACCAGCAGCACAGGGGATGGGGAGTGGGGACTGTGGTCAGTTCATCACACATCGTCTCTGCCACTCCTGACTCCTCACCCTCTGCCCCTGCTCCAGCGTGGGGTCCCTCCCACGGGAGACAGTTCTCCACGAACTGCTCCAACGCGCGTCCTTGCTACGCATTGGTTGGTACGATGCTTGTCTTCCAGAGCAACCATTACGCCTGCTGAAGCCCCGCTTCCCGGGAAGTGGCTGGACATCGCCTGCTGATGGGAAGTAGTGAATAAATCTTTTGTTTTCCTTTGCTTTCGCACGCGGCCTGTGCTGTTACTTTATTAAACTGCCTGTATCTTGACCCACGAGATTTTTTTCCCATCTTACTTTCTGCCCCCCACTGTGCTGCTGAGGAGGGGAGCGACAGAGCAGCTTGGTGGGCACCTGGCGTGCAGCCAGGGTCAACCGACCACATCTGACTATGTATCTCATGCTAGGTTAGGTCACGAGATTAATCCCGCTGCATTTTGAAAGAAGCCCTTTGGCACGGAAAAAGGCATGAAAAACAACATTTATGCGCTAAGAGTAAAAAATAAATTCAGTGATACGTTTTTGTTCACTTTTTTACTAGTAGTTTCCTGCTAAGCGTCTAGTTTACATGAGAGTAGCTGGATATTAAACGTTCTAGCAAGATTGCTAGGATTTTGAATTGTTTGATAAGACAAATAAAATTGCAGTTTTTAAACCCTTAAAAGCTCTGGTCAGATCTATCCCATAGAGTATAATTGGCTCTGATGAGATCAGCTCTCAGCTGAAGCAGAACCTCGTTACTAAGACTGAAAAATCATGCAAGTTTTAATGATCAAAAGCACTCAGTTTGAGTGACACAGTGAAGTGCTATTTCAAAAATCAACAATTATAGATTAATCTCTTTCATGTATTATTAAAGCCCTGTTAATGTGAGTTTTCAGCTGGAATCTTTGTGGGCAAATGAAACTGCAGTAATCAGATCTGTTCATGCAATGCAGCAAATGAACATTGTGGTAGTTAACAAATATTGAATGCAGTGTTGTTACGTTTCCTCTAATCTTGTAGTCAACATCCATGTGCTTAACTGGTGGATCTTTAGGTAAGGTTTCAAGAACTTGACATCATGATTCCCTTATAAAATGTTCTTAGGTATGAACACTGAGCTTAATTGATAGTGTGCTTATGATCCCTTGAAAAACCGTGAACTAGAAGCAGTCGACTAGTTCAGACCTATTTTCTGTCATTCTGGAAACTTTGTTTGGTCTCCAGATTACTTCAATTGCGGGAATGCCTGCCTATCCTGTAGCTGAACATCATAAAACCAGAAACTTTCCTGGTTTCTGGTTGGGGAATGGGGGCAGGTAAGTGTCTGTGTGGGAGGCAGAGGTTTTTTCAGTCTTTGTTCAAGACTGCTTAGGAACACCTTCATATCCTGAACAGTCCAAAGAGTTATGCGAGTTATTGCCTAGTTTAAATGCTAGTAATTTCTTTTTTTCCTGGAATTTTTTAGCTCTGGAGAGCAGTGAAGGAATAAATGAATGCTATTCTTTTTTCTAAAATGATGAACTAGAGTCTCCTTTTCTTCTGATTGCTCTTGTTTTTTTAATGGAAATCAGATTTTGCTGCAGCACAGTATTTGAGCAGCCCTGAAACCATTTCTAAGCCTTTAATAATTTTATGTGCTAGGCATTCTGGCAGGCGAAAGCTTCCAGTTCAGGGTTGTTATCTGTGGTAAACTGGATAATGTCAGACAGGAGAACTTGCAGTGCTTTCAGAAGCTGTCTGATCTGATAGTAAAAAATAAATATATATGCTCTGGCAGTGTCCAGAGTACTGCTGTCCTCATGAGGAAAGATTGTGGAAGAGAAGCTTCTTGTTTCCTCTTTGGTGAAAAGAGAATATTTTTTTTTTGGGGAGGTGGAAAGTGAGGGGGTTTTTTTTTTGGGGGGGGGGGTGTTGGGGAGGGTGGATAGTGATAAGAGCTTGCATACAGCCATATGAGAAGGGGACATCACTGACAAGAAATTATGAATGCTGTTCTCTGGACCTTGCTAGATTTAGTACTTTTAAAAATTGCTGGGGGAGGGGGGCAAGTCTTGCTGAAATCCCTTCCCCAATATAAAGTAGGTCACTGATAGTGGTGTTGGCAGTCACCTCTCTGCAGCGTATTCTCTTCTGCCCTACTGCAGTGCGAATGCTGATTTCTCCTGTGTGCACATTAAATACATAGCATAGTACAATTCCTTCACTTTGTTTGCAGAGTCCTGATTTCTGAGCAGGAATAGTGACAGGAAGCTCATGCATTGGGGGGAAGATCAGGATTAATCATATCTGCATAGAGAAAAGCAGCGTCTCGCATGGCAGACTGTGCGATATGGTTTTCTGAAAAGAAACAGCACTGATATGTGTCAGCCCTCTGAAGGTGTTATAAAGGTTGTACCATTTAATCCTCCTGATGTGAAGGTGTTGGATTGTCTGCCTCTGTTCATCAGTGCTGGAACGTGGGAGGAGAAAGTCCAGGAGAGCCAAACAGCTTTTTGTACAGAAACAGCAGGTTATTCCTAATTAAATCCAGACTTCTGTGCTACTTGGTTGAAGCAAATCTCATGGCTTCTTGTTTATGCACACATACATCCAATGGCATACAAGTAGATGCTCTAAGCTGCTTTGGGTGTTGAAGTTTACCTATGGTTTGTTTATCTCATTAGAGACTTGAAAGTTTTCAGCCGTAAGGAGGCATGTGCAGGTACATTTCAGCCTGGTGGATGAGCTAACTCATTCTCTCCTTTAAATCGGTTATTAAAGTGGTTATTAATTTATCTTTTCCATTTTGATGATTTAAGCTTACTTCCATTTTAATGGGAACATAAGTCTAGGAGAGAGTCGAGCAGAAATACTGAAGCTAAAGCTGC